AGCAAAACAGGGAGCGAGGCATTCGTGTTTAACAGACACTTCTCTATAGTTTTCAGGTTTCAAGCACTTCAGTCATATGCCCAGAGAACTACGTGGTCCTTGGCTTCTTTATTATAGCTTATGTATGTTTATTTATTATATAGGGTACACATTGTGATACTAGCAAGGATATACATAATTACGTAGCTATGTTACTTATAGGTGTGTATTTTTGTGGTACAGGGTCAACACCATCTATATCTATGTACAACATCTGCACTATCTTGTACCTGTTTGTGTCTAATGTCTATACTGTGATCATCATATCGGAGAGACAATGAACGCTCGAATCCGACCCGGTTGATTTGTCATTATTCAAGGACCCAACCCGATTACATGTATATTAACAATCTAAACACTTAACTATCATTCATTTACTCGAATTTCCCTAATAATGTTTGTATAAGTATCGTAGGTGAAATAATATGGAAGGAATACATCATTACATCAATCATATTCACTTCAGCGATTGATTAAGAGCCATTCAAAGTCTTATTAAAGTATGTCATTAACATTTATATAAATGTCGTCATATCGAATGATGTGACACTATTTGCAATCGTGCAACACAAATGTAAAATATGATATTTATACATCAGAATATCAAATTTGAAGCGTGTTGGAAATGGACACTGTAACAGTCAAACGAACAATACGATCCAAACGATACATTAATTCTGACATTACCGGTACACTAGATAGTTAAATGATATAAAAATATATGGGTTAGATCCAACCGGTACAGGTACATGTCTCTTAGGCGTGTTTGTATAAATATTGTTTAGTTACTGCGTCAAATATAACCACAACAGTAGTTTAGTATCGTCTCTTTTTATGTAAGAATTCGTGATGTCTTATCTATTTATATGTCTCATCGGCAAATTTAGTTTCTTAATTCTTAATTTTTAAAACATTAACAAGTTAACACCAAGGTCAATTTGTTTTGGAGATATCATTTTAATAACATACTTTTGCTACTTACAAAACACACAACATACAAAAATAGAATGAACGTGAGAACAGGTATACGCCACCCCATTCTCTTCGATTTGCCCGGGACTTTGACCCTTTACTGTGACCGATGACCACCAAAATCTCATCATGTGTAGGACTCTGTGTTATCAGACTTTGGTGTAAGTATAAAAAGTCGGATTTGCTTTGAGGTTCGTTTATGTATTATACATGTATTTTATTTTAACTTCAAACGTGGTAAATGATCTTTACCTGTAATCTTTGACATTTGGGCCTTAGCTGATGAGCACCAATTCCAAATAGGTTTTGTGTACGGTGTACATTTCTATTAAATGAGTGATTCATGAGATATCATGTACACATTTTTTTTTATTTACCATGGGCATGTCGGCTATCAAAACAGACATATTCAAATATTTTTAAGGTTTTTACCCCTGTGACCTTTTAAGTAGGTTGGGGTCATTTATTTGATAGTTCTTTATAATGATCTCTCTAAGAATACTACTGTCCAAACATCATTACCTTGGTTATTTAAAACAAGTAGTTTAACGGTTTTCACATGCATGACCCCTGGGACCTCCAAAGTAGCTCAAGGTAATTTATTCAAAACATCTTTATAGCGAACTATGTATCTTGCCAAATATATCATCCTGTGCCATTTGGTTAATCAGAAGTGTTTTAAATGTGTCTACATATTTGACCCTGTGACCTTGAAAGGAAACCAAGGTCATACATTCTAGGACGCTTTTAGCACACCATCCCAGTATGCTACTGGTCAAATATCATGACCCTAGACGGACAGATGTCATACAACACACAGTACCATAAGTTTTTTCCGGAGCTTCGTGCAAGGTGAGCACAATATACAGTTAGTTACCTTTAACACCAAAATACGAAGTGCTATCACATTTACAATTGTGTAAGTAAAAGGTGGTCAAATCAGAAAAATAAACATTTGATACACCTAGCAAATGTGAAAGTGCAACGAAAATGTTATTTCTTGTGTGAAAACATAAATTCAACTCATATGTTGTGATAATGATTCGACGAAATAACGCCTGTCCCTGATTTGACCGTCAAGAGCAATAAGTTAGAATCAAAACAAATACAATGAAACTGTCATAGTGGCCCTACTTTACTTATGTTTACTTATTTCAATATTTCAAATTCAAATCCAATTTAAACTGAAAGTTGAATTCAGAAAATATTTATTTAATTGTCACAATTTGAATAAATCAAAAGGGTTTTAAAGTAATGAAAATATATAAATAAAAAAAAAATGAAAAAAAAATTAAAATCATAAAAATATAAAGCATCCAAAGCAGGTAGTGGATTTTATTGCATACTTACTAATAAATACGTTTTTTTGTATATGCGATACGACACAATTGCTCTAACCCATATCAGCCCTCGCCGTGTCACACCCCAAAACCCGTATCAGCCCCCGCCGTATCACACCCCAAAACCCATATCAGCCAGCAAAACCCATATCACACCTCATTTGGAAAAAAAAATCGTTTTTTAATATTTCAAAAATTAAAATAAATGATAAGATAGTAGTTTTTATTAGTAAGTATGTAATAAACAGAATAAAACACGCCTTTTCCCATAGCACACCCAGTATCAACCCTCGACCAATATCAGCCCGCGGGCCTTCGGCCATTGGGCTGATATTGCAGTCTCGGGTTGATACTGGGTGTGATATGGAAAAAGGCATGTATTATTCTCTATGTAAGATTAACCTCCTAAAGTGTATATATATTCTAAATTGTTCCTACCTCGCATGGACATTCAATATTTTTATTATATATATAGGATCTTACATGTGTTTCCATTTCATACGAGATATATGAAACGAGTCAAAGATTTTTTTCAATTTGGCGAGCTAAAATGAAATATTCGTTACGAGTTTCATAAATTTCATATCAAATGAAAACGAGTGTACGATCCTTTTTTTTTTTAATCAAGATTTGTGGCAATTATTCGTGTGAAACAACCATTTTCATGCAACCTTGAAATGTAAAAAGCCGCCATTTTGACTCAAGTGCGTAAGTCTGTGACGTCATGTACTTGTTCTAGGCGTGACGTCACAATCAAAACAATTGGAACTTACAACCAATCACAGGGCTTAGAGGTCATATTACATGGGTTAATACGCAAAAAAGTATGAAATGTGTATATTCACTGGATAACACAGTACATTATGTGATAAATATTTTTACAATCAATTATTTATAGACATATATTTCGCATTTTAGCATAACCATGCAATAGTAGATAATTAAAAGTTAAGTTTCCGTTGTATGATAGGTGTGAAGTAGCACATATCACTACTAAAGGAATATAAGGGGGTTAGCAATTAATGATATTGGCATAAACCAAATAACAAATAACAGGACGGAGGTCCTAGTGTCAGCAGCAGTTACACCCCTATAGTCACCCAAACTTGCAACAGAACCTAGGCCCTTTATGTTTACCTCAAGAAGCAGCAAAGTTAAACTAACCTTTATAAGTGTCAGCAGAATTAAGAAGAGGCTCATAGGCCTTAACGGTCACCTGAGTTCTGATATATCTATACAGAGAGTTGAATTTTGTTTTTAAAACATGAACAGAAATTTTATTCAAAGTGCCAAAAAACAATAAAACCACCTTATTCAATATCTAGCATACAGATTCAAGACTGAAAAGTATTTGAAATTTAGCACCTCTGATTCTAAACAAGGAAAATGAAGAAATGTTAGTACACTGACTCACTTCGGTCCCACCCTACATCCCTAGGGGGTAGGATTGGTTCAACATTTTCAAAGTATCAAACTGTCAACTCAGGGTTATAATTCCAATTATCAACATGTAATATTCAAAGTCTCATTTGCCACTATAAACCATAATTACCCCCCCCCCCTTCCCCAGGTGTAAACGTGAGACCCGAGGGTCCTAACATTCACAATTTTGGTAAAGCACCTTAAAATCCTTCCATTTATGAAGAGTATTTGATTCTACCATATCTGGATCTTGAGAAGAAGATTTTTAAAATTCCAGTCAATTCGACCCTTTTTTGCCCCGCCCCTCAGGCCCCTGGGGGCAGGGGACCATATCCTTTTTGGTTGACCTTTGGCAATGGAAGGTTTCTGCAAAATTTCATTGAAATTGGTTCAGGGGTTTTGGACAAGAAGTTGAAAATGTAAATTGTTTACAGACGCACGACAACGGACAAAAGGCGATCGCAATAGGTCTCTTGAGACTGTCTCGGGTGACCTTAAAAATTCTTATTTTATGCTACTAATGGCCACCCGTAGTGGCAGCAATAAGTAATACGTTAATGGTACACTCCTAGTGGTTGCAGTAGTTACACTTCAATTGTTCATCCCAAGTGGCAAAAGAAGTTATGTCTTCATTATCTATCCCCAGTGGCAACAAAGCTATAGTCCCATTGCACAACCCACGTGACAGAAGAAGTTATAAATGGTCTTCCATGGTCCACCCATAGTGGTGCGAGAGAACAGCTTCAATGGACCACCACAGGACGCAGAAGAACGTTTTATTCCATTGTTCTACCCAAGTGGCAAACGAACTTATTCTCCCACTGTACATATCGGGTGACAGTAGAAGTTATACATGTTCTTCAATGGTCGATACTTCTTAGTGGAAGCAGACGTTTTATTCCCATTGTATACTCCAACTCCCGAGGTATCTGAAGGCAGCCGAAGTTTACTACTAGTTTCCACCCAAACAGACACTAGAGGCTAAATTAAGCTTCGGATCGAAAGTTCGTGTAAGTAAATTAATGTTAAATGTCTTCCGGGTTCCTTTCCCTTAGTTCAAACTGAATTTCCTCCTGTCGTTGAATGTTATGTCAGTTCCTAGAAAATATTTGCTCCCTACCCTTACTATAATGGAAATACATCCATGTGATCATATAAATCCATCCGATATTGCCATGTGTATTAAAAAAATCCTTTCCGACAGAAAAGGTTGAGTCAGACATATGACTAGGTTAGTCGTTTAACCATCATCTTGCACTTCCGTAATGGAGGCTTTTCTCGATCAGAGTAGAATTTTCTCCACGTCATGGAAGTTGTGTCATCATTGCCAATATCTTCAACATATAGGCCAAACAAGTTGCACGAATAGCACCAACCGTACCACCACGCCCCCTTATAAAGATCGCTACAACTGAAAGGTGCATTGTCATTGTCACGGTCAAACGTAGAGAAAACCTTCCCGCTGTGGTACGAAATCTCATCAGCTGGAATAAGATTATCATTTACGGTTGTGTATTAAACATATAGTCTGATTAAAGTTAGTTCTATTAATGACATCACAAAGTGAATAAGTTATGGAATTGTTATGCATAATTAGTTCAGTGTAATTATGCATGGTTCTGCACCAAGTTAAAACGGAGACACCAAATAACAAGAGGGATTTGAGAAAAATTTGTTCCGTATTTCCTGTAACCTATTGATAACCAGCATTGTTTACGGAGGCTCAATGTTGTTGATGTGATGGTGTGGTTTGATAATTTACCTCTTAATGATCCCTATCCCGCTGCACTGTGGTATTTCCTATGTACAGTAGCCCCTTTACTTCCGTTTGGATATAACTGTAGCACTGTTTGGCTAGAGCCCTTCCATTGTCCAGGTAGCTTAAACGGTTGCAGGGGCGGTATAACAATCTGCAGTCCGGGTTTAAAATCCCGGTCTGGCCCCGCAGAACATTTTACACTCAGAACACGACTTTGATATTATGTTTATTTTTTATTAAGTTTTCATAAATTGGNTGGGGGGGTGGGTCTCGTTCTTTCATGTATGTTGCTCTTCCGATTGAGTAGAAAGGTTATATCAAAATAAAAGTGGAATACAAAATGTCCTGTCTTTACCAAAATATACTTACTTAATGTACCACCGGAGTATTGCAGTGTCAACATGTACTTCTCTGTCTCCGATCCTATATGAAATGTTGTAAAATCTGCGTACTTGACATCCCCTTGCCAACTCTCCAACGTGATGCGCAGGGCTTGTCCCAACACCAAAAGGCTTCTAATTGGTTCCATTCCTAGTAACGAAAAACTGTTGTATTCACCTCTTGTACATATGCTTTACTGTCTTCGGAACAAGCAAATTCGTATCATAATTTATTGTATACCTTTAAATGAAATAATCCTGCAATTATAAACAACCCGACACACCAGTAAATTAACCTTGTCCTATCAATATAAATACGTTTGCCCATCAGTATATATATCTCTCCTCAGGTGAGTATGAAAATCTTAATACATCAGTGTAAATACCCCCTGTTCAGTATGAATATCGCACCATTGCAATGTTACTGCCTCACCACATCGGTAAAACACCTCACCACATCAGTATAAATATCCCCTCTTCAGTATGAATATCGCACCATTGCAATGTTACTGCCTCACCACATCGGTAAAACACCTCACCACATCAGTAGAAATATCTCCGCTTCAGTATGAATATTGCACTATTTCCAATGTTACTGCCTCACCACACCGGTAAAACACCTTACCACATCAGTAGAAATATCTCCGCTTCAGTATGAATATCGCACTATTTCCAATGTTACTGCCTCACCACACCGGTAAAACACCTTACCACATCAGTATAAATATCCCCTCTTCAGTATGAATATCTTACCATTTCAATGGTACTGCCTCACCACACCGGTAGAACACCTTACCACATCAGTAGAAATATCTCCTCTTCAGTATGAATATCGCACTATTTCCAATGTTACTGCCTCACCACATCAGTATAAATATCCCCTTTTCCGTATGAATATCTTACCATTTCAATGGTACTGCCTCACCACATCAGTAGAAATATCTCCTCTTCAGTATGAATATCTAACCATTACAATGGTACTGCCTCACCTCCCCGGTATAACCCCTTTCCACATCAGTAGAAATATCCCCTCTTCATTATGAATATCGTACCATTTCAATATTACTGCCTCCCCACAGCAGTATAAACACCTCGGCACATCAATATAAATAATATCGTACCATTTCAATATTACTGCCTCACCATACCAGTGAAACACCTCCCCACATCAGTATAAATATCCCCGCTGCAGTATGAATATCTTCCCATTTCAATGGTACTGCCTCACCTCCCCGGTATAACCCCTTTCCACATCAGTAGAAATATCCCCTCTTCATTATGAATATCGTACCATTTCAATATTACTGCCTCCCCACAGCAGTATAAACACCTCGGCACATCAATATAAATAATATCGTACCATTTCAATATTACTGCCTCACCATACCAGTGAAACACCTCACCACATCAGTATAAATATCCCCGCTGCAGTATGAATATCTTCCCATTTCAATGGTACCGCCTCACCACATCAGTATAAACATCCCATATTGAGTATGAATATCGTACCGTTTCAATGCTACTGCCTCACCACACCAGTAACACACCTCACTACATCAGTATAAATATCCCCTTTTCTGTATGAATATCGTACCGTTTCAATGTTACTGCCGCACCACATCAGTATAAACCCCTCGGCACATGTTACTGCCTCACCACACCGGTAAAACACCTTACTACATCAGTATAAATATCACCTCTTCAGTATGAATATTTCACTATTTCCAATGTTACTGCCTCCCCACAGCAGTATAAACACCTCGGCACATCAATATAAATAATATCGTACCATTTCAATATTACTGCCTCACCACACCGGTAAAACACCTTACTACATCAGTATAAATATCTCCTCTTCAGTATAAATATCGCACCATTTCCAATGTTACTGCCTCCCCACAGCAGTATAAACACCTCGGCACATCAATATAAATAATATCGTACCATTTCAATATTACTGCCTCACCACACCAGTGAAACACCTCCCCACATCAGTATAAACATCCCATATTGAGTATGAATATCGTACCGTTTCAATGTTACTGCCTCACCACATCAGTATAAACACCTCGACATATCCGTAAGAAATCTCGATACATTATTATAAATACATACAAAAAACAGTATTAATACCTCGACACATCAGTATAAAAACCTTGTCACTTAAGTATAAATATCGGGACACATCAGTTATAATGCCTCAGCACATCAATATATATACATTGACAAAACAGTATACATATCTTGTCACAGTTTAAAATGTCTCGACAAATCACTATACATACTATAACACATCACTATAAATAATTTGACACATCATGATAAATACATTGACAAAACAGTATATATGTCTCGACACATCACTATAAATACTTTGACAACACAGTATAAATGTCTCGACACATCACTACAAATACTTTGACAAAACAGTATAAATACCTCGGCACATCATGATAAATACCTCGGCACATTAGCATAAATACCTCGGCACATTAGTATAACAAGAGGCCCACGGGCCTTAACGGTCACCTGATATATTTATACAGAGTTGATTTTGTTTTTAACATGAACAGAAATATTATTCAAAGTGACAAAAAACAATAAAACCACCTTATTCAATATCTAGCATACAGATTTCAGACTAAAAAGTATTTGAAACTAGCACCTCTGATTCTAAACATGGAAAATGAAGAAATTTTAGCACACTGACTCCTTTGAGCCCCACCCTACAGCCCTTGGGGGTAGGGCTGGCTCAAAATTTTCAAAGTATCAAACTGTCAACTCAAGGTTATAATTCCAATCAAGTTATTAACATGTAATATTCAAAGTATCATTTGCCATTATAAACCATAATAAATTTTGCCCCCCCTCCTTCCCCAGGGGGTAAACGTGAGACCCTAGGGTCATAAACCTTAAGACCCTTCCATCTATGAAGAGTATTTGATTCTACCATATCTGGGTCTTGAGAAGAAGATTTTTGAAATTTCAGTAAATTCGACCCTTTTTGGCCCCACCCATCAGCCCCTGGGGGTCAGTCAGGGCTCATATGTGCATACTATCAAACTGCTACCTAATACTGATAATGCTAACCCAAATTGAATTACTTCCAATGGAAATTAAACAAATGTTGGTCCAAAATGTGATTTCCCTATATAAACTATAGTAAAGTTAACCCCCTCCCCAGGGGGAAACGTGAGACCCCAGGGTCAAGAAATTCACAATTTTGGTAAAGCACCTTAAGACCCTTCCATATATGAAGAGTATAAGATTTTTGAAATTTTAGTCAATTTGACCCTTTTTGGCCCCGCCCCTCAGGCCCCTGGGGGCTTGGGACTAAACCGGCCACCATTTTTGTTGACCTTTGTCCATGGAAGGTCCCTGCAGAATTTCATTGAAATTGGTTTAGGGGTTTTGGAGAAGAAGTCGAAAATGTAAATTGTTTACGGACGCACGACGGACGACTACGGACAAAAGGCGATCGCAATAGGTCACTTGAGACTTTGTCTCAGGTGACCTAAAAACCTCGACACATCACTATATGTAATTTGACACATCATGATAAATACATTGAAAAAACAGTATATATGTCTCGACACATAACTATAAATACTTTGACAAAACAGTATAAATGTCTCGACACATCACTACAAATACTTTGACAAAACAGTATAAACACCTCGGCACATCAATATAAATACCTCGGCACATTAGTATAAATACCTCGACACATCAGTATAAAAACCACGGGACATCAATATAAATAACTTGGCAGATCATAGCAATCCAAAAAGTTGATATATTATACCTAACCAGAATTCTCCATTGATATGTCCAAATCCATCTTTGTACTCTGCCCAGGACCGCATGAAGTCAACGCTGCCGTCATATCTGTTTTGAATCACCTGTTTGTTATAAGGTATAGTTGATATTATTTCTCATCATCTGAGATCCCTAAATCTTTTATTTCCACCAGATGTAAAAGAATGGGCTAATATCACAGATAAAATGCTTTATTTCGGCCGCCATTTTACAACCGATCGTGCGTCATTATCTACCGATGTCATTAAATAGTTACATTACAGACAACGCTCTTTAAAAACCAGTTTCATGAGTATGAATGTTATTGATTAAGTAATCGTTTGTGATATCAGTTTATTCATCCTGTCAGTCTAGCGTGTTTTCCGGTCATATGGATACCAGGTAATTGTGACAGCCGTTTGCTTTTTGTTTGTCCAACTTATTTCATGATAATGGAAAATCTTGAATTGGTACTCAGTTGTAACATATGAACTGTTCTCTTACCGTCCACGGTCCTCCAGGAGTGTCCATATCACAGTAGACGTCAAATGTTGTCCCTGTTACCGGGGTAACGGTAAACACACCTGAACAATAGCTTAAACCCACGTCGTTACAGTCAGCCAAACCTTTCAACAGAAAATAGAAAATGTTGTTTAAAGAAAACTTGATCAAAACTGAAAGAGATAAACGAACTAAATTATCCGATAATAGTAGCACATAAAACATGAACAATGACCTACTGCAAATAACCACCTTCAATCTGTAAATTTCGTATCGGTGTCGTCGTATACTGTTGTATTATTTCAATGAACATACACTTGTCACCAAACACCCTAATCACAAACAAACCTTACATGATATTGAATAGAGATGGAAGTAAAGGGAATTGAAATGAAAAACACCAACTCTCTTCTTTTTGCTAGATTAAAAATATTGTCATCAGTAAATGCATCTTGTGGTTACTTTTGATTTCAATTTCATACAGATGGGGTGTAGAGTGTCCCGTCAATTCCTATCAAAGTGAGGGCTTGTTCACTTCCTGAGAAAAAGATATTTCAGACTTGATTTTCCAAATCGAAGCTGGGTACTTACCTGACTGCCATTCTCTTTTTTTCTGATCAGTTTTAAAATAGAATATCCACACTATGGACATAGAGGAACCTGCATAAGACGTTAGTACTTCTTGCAAAAACAGTTTTCAAAAACTTGAACTGTTTAAACAAAAGAGGCTGCCCAGTGGACATATTGATTTACCAATTAGTCTCAAAATAAAACATGAACAATCACAGTCAATGGGGAAACTACATATGAACTATGAGAATCTGTCGAATACTGTTCTATAAAGTCGGCATCAGTTCCGCGCTATTACAAGAAGACAAACACGAACATATCGCAGCCTCCCAAAATACACACACATACACTACACGCATGCATCTTGCACACAGGGGAGGCCGTCCTTAAATGACCTTAGCTGTTAATAGGACGTTAAACAAAATCAAACAAACAAACAAACAAAAAGTTTTGCAAATCAGTCTCAAAATCATACATCCACAACTACTGGGGATGTGACCTGGCCTCGACTTAGATTTACATGGCGGGTTGCATCGATTAAGCAGAAGAGGCTTAACATTCCGGAACACTTCTTATTCTCCTTGTACTTTTTCAAGGGTCTCCATGAAAAGATCTCCTTTGTTCATGTTGCCCTAGTTTTATCAATTTCGTTTTTGTTGACATTTCGGGTTTCTTATGTTGTTGGTTAGCATGATATAATAATCAATTTGCATCATCAGAAAGACTATATTTGTTCACGAATACTACCAGTAAAATATAACTCGGGAGGATAATCACGAGAATAAAAGAAGCATTGCACTTGAAATTGAAATCGGCACATCTCTCAATAGAAATTTCAAGGCCAGGGCACAGATAACAAACCGTCGAGATGGGCTTTGAAGTGGACCGAAGCGCAAAAACATTTCGTACTCCATATTGTATGTATCAATTTTTATTTCAAATTAGACGTTGTGATATGTTTAAAAGAGACACGAGGGACTCAATACCCGAGAATTGTATTGCCTAATGACATGACATAAAACAATAGGGTAGTATGGGACACACTAAGGCAAGCAAGTTAACACTTAGTTTCCAACGTTGAGTCCGAAAATATTTGGGACAACTTTGAATAGAATGATTATTCCTCTCTTTCACTTTAATATATCTTTATTTCGCTAAAGATATCTCTTGCATTTGAATAAGATCATATTAACTTATATAATCATATTAAATATATCTGTATCTTTAAGAAATAAACATATCAATGAAAAAAATGAGGAAGACGAACTAATCGCTTTCAATGTCCAAAACCATAGGCCTGGGACGTTTCTTCGTGAGGTTATATGGTTGACGTTTATAGTGAGAGTTACACCAAAGACAGGCCCTCCAAATTTTGATAACGGGATATGGTATGGGGAGAACGAACTATTTTCCGACACTGTTTCAGATTTTGTTTGGGTTTCACGACCTGGACACGCGGCGGTATGGCGTCGAAACGATATCGAGCGTCTGTAGCAATTTTGCCTAAAACTAGCGATCAAATCGTTAAAGAGTAACTGTAGTGCTGCAATATTTTTTTTAGTAAAGAAAGATTGATATATAAAACACTCAAAAAAAGCAAAACCATTTTTTTTTTCAAAAATACCGAAGTTGTAACCTTTTAACTAAATTTCACACCTGAGCGCAAATCGGAAAATCTCCGATTTTGACCTACGACCGGAAGTGACGTAGCAGCGGTGACCCAAACTCAGGTAAGCTCGGGTAGCCATTACGAAACACTATCAAAACATCTTCGTCATGTCCGTGATTTACAAAGAAAATACGCTGGTATCTCGCCGTGGTCGACGTTGTGTTGCAGGAGGATGCTCCAATACTACTATCAATGGAGTTTCCATGCATACTTTTCCTGCAAAGAGACCTGATATTCACCGACAATGGGTTGCTTTTGTGAGAAGAAAACGCAAAGATTGGGAGCCGACTCGTCACACAGTGTTGTGCAGTGCCCACTTCGAGGAAGATTGTTTTCCACTGAAATTCCGGTTAGGCCTGTTGGAATCAAGTGGGAAGACTGTGAAGAGGACACTAGAAGAAGATGCCGTCCCTACTATTTTCAATACTGCAACGACACCGACAATGTCGACACCGACCATGCCGACACCTCGTAGGAAACGTTCCTCAAGCCCCGAGACTGATTTGACAACACCGAAGACTGTGAAAAAAGGCCTAGGTCGTCATTTGTTAAAAGGGACATCCAACGTGTGAGTGTTTATATGTGTTTCCTATATAAATATATTATCTGTAATCTTGTACTGATGACCAATGATTTCTACACGTGTAACCTGTTTCGACGGAAATCCTATTTCGACTTTCAGGGCCCTGTGTGAACTTGTAAAGGTAATAGCTTTAAATCTCAATATCTTAGTAATATGTCAATCTTAACAAACTATTATAAAACAGAAATTTCCTAAATGAATTGCATTACAAAATATTGATATTAAGGGGACATCTCTATATCATGCTTATTTACAAATTGCAGTTGATCAGAGAGTATATGAAGAATGTGAGCCAGAAGATGCTTCATGTCCACAGGCACCGACACATATTGAAGAAGATGACCTAAGCTCAAGTATGGAGGTAAGGTATTATTTTATCTTTGTGTAAATTGATGACACGCAATGATTGGCCCCAATTAGTTGCTAACAAAACCAGTCTGATTTTTTTTTAATAATATTGACATTTTTATTCTATGTTAATATTATCTAACCTAGTCAATGGTAAGAACACATAAACCCGCAAGGGATCAATGACTTTTGACCAGACATTGATAAATGCACTAACTTTATTTACCATGGGAGGTTGCGAGTCTCACTAGAAAATAATCTGGAGGTCCTTATAAAAACTTGACGGCTCTGTTAGTCTGATGTGCATAATAACCTCCCTGACACAACCTGAACCTTGCAAAATAAAATAGTAATATTTTTTTGGAACATAAACAACAATAATAAACATACAAAAGAATTATATCCTGATCTCTAACTGTATAAAATAAAAACTAGCTCTTGAAGATTGAAAATATTTATTTTATCAATGTACCTTGTATGATCAATGGCCATGATGTTTCATAATTGATATATATCATGTTTCCTTTTTCGGGTAAATGTTGTCTCAGAGGAGCCTAAAACTAAGTCTGTAGCTTCACAGAAGAGTTTAAGTCGGCCACTACACACAAAAAAGATCTTAAGGAAAGGATAAAGGTAAATCACCATACACTACATGCACTCAAATTCTCAATTATTCTCAAACCAATGTAAATATTGCCAATATATATGTCTATAATATAAAATTTATAAATGTATAGTTTTAATTTCAATAAAATGTGGTGAGTAGGCTATTTTTTCCCCTGTTATTTAATTTAGATTTAGGCTAACAGTTATATTTTCTTCTATTTACTATTTCAACTATGTTTGATGACACTGTCAGTTAGATATTCGTTGTCAAGTGTAGGTTTTTTTCCCCTTCTGATATAGATTGCTCTTTTCCCTTCTGCAGATTGTTGCTGGCTGCACTGCACTTCAATGAGAATGTTTCGAGAGAACAGGCGTCACTTCAAAATGGTGAAAAGAGATACAGAATCACATTCCCCAAGCAAAAGAATGGTGACTACACAGTAAGACAAGTGAGAACAGAGTGCACCTTCAGTAAGTTATATAATTATTCAATTTCATTCGTAATTTTACTTTAGAAAATAATTCAATGGTTTCAAACTGCCATTGACAGAATATGCCAGAATTTTTTTGCTGGCATGTGAAGTTGATGGTTGGTTAGTTATTTTTTTTGCTGCTTTGAGATTTATGTGTTTTATATATATGTTATTATGTGGCAACTACAGATTTCTGTGTTCCCATATTTTCAATAATTTATCATCTTGTGCATTTTGATAGCATATTAAAACTAGTAAAAGAGCAATCATTTAAAAGGTCTTTCTTGTCAGATTATGTTACAGATTTGATGAAAGCAACGAAGGAACGGGTGAAACTTTTACAGATTCCCAATTGCGAGGTTGTTGGAGAATCGCCACCACCACTATGTATGAACTTTGTTCACCCAGAGAAGTCCGAAGCTGCTTTGGACTGATGTCCAGGTTGAGCCACTAGCCTACAGTTGAGACTTTGGTGTCTTGGATTATGAATCATGCATGGAGATATGGAGACTACACATGTTGGACTATTCAAAGTGCTGGCCCCAGTTGTTTAAAGATACTTTTTATCAGTTAGGGAAAACTATAGCCTGAATACAACAAAATCAAGAACACCAGAGATCATTTTAATCATTTTACTTGATTTTTTGAGAAAAATAAATGATGTGTTTTGAGGATTAGTTATAACCACCACTAATATCTCTAATAACATTTGAGCAACCGGGGCCTGGCCTTTTACATTTTAATAATTGTGATGTGTTTGAAAATAATAAAGAGACCATATGTTGGTTTTATATGATATTTAATGTAGTAATGGGAACAAAATGTCTACATAAATATCAAACTGACATAAAAAAAAACCAGTAGCTAATTTAATCATAAATAAGCATACAAATAAGAAAGTGTTCCGTTGTTTTCTCATTCAAATTTAAAGCCATTGTACTGTCCGTCCGGAGCAGGGAAAGCATTCCTGATGCAAGTAACAGCACATGCTGGGAGTCGTACACGAACATGGCGAACAAGCCAACCCCACCACCATCTCACAAATTGACGATAGGCAATATATCGATTTCTCCTGGAAAAAAAAATCATTATCTTGCATAAAAAAGAGGGCATATATGTAAATCTTCCAACTCTTCATTTTCAAAACAGACTGCTAAGAACTACTTTGAATAAAGTGGATAGACTCTTGCAAAATTGCTGAACATTTCATATATTCTTGGGTTTTAGTCATCTTTCACAATGCAGTGTTTTGTTATTCTGTGTATACATTCAGTTAGATTGTAAAACATTGAAAAACAAATTAAATAATAATGATTAAATAAAATGTATGTTTACTTACTTGTTTTCATAGTCTGTCAATTGACCATGGTACTGACGAAATGTCAGGTATGCTGTCTGTAGAACATAAATATTCAAACAGACAGCAGCAAATCCAGGATGGGGAGTGATGCATGATAGGTCACCTGGAATGGCATCCATCATGACTTGGACCTGGTCGACTTCTTTGCAACAAATACTTTCCACTTCGGTAGACATTGCAGGACAGTGTCCGCACCTACACCTGAAAACCGTAATAAGTTTTCTTTGAACTTGTAGACATATACTTTTTAATCAAGGTACTTTACACTGCCATTTGAGCGATAGCTGTAAGGACCTAGAAAACCGGTATCCGTCCATAGTTTCTAGTTGTATTGCGCCAAATCTACATTTTTGTGTAAGGTGACAACTGAATTTTCTATACACGTTACTTAGCGAAGAAATGCTGGTAGGCTAATCTTTCTTATAGTCAAAAAATGGTCTAATAATCAACCTAATTTGCGTCAAAATAAACTTACCAATCGTTGCTTCCAAGTCGTATGGCTTGGATCTCGGGCTCGTGGTCGGCCACTGAAGTTTCCTCGTTTGGGTCGTCATTTGTCTCTGGTTCGAACATGTAAGGCTGTGTTACTCCGTCGTAGGTTGCCTCGTCCATCTCAAAGTTAGATGAGCCGTCAGACATGTATAAATCAACAGATTCTTTGTCGCTTTCTGAGGTCGATACGTAGGTAACGTTATTCGCCATGATGCCGGTTTTCTTGTGTTCCCGTTGTGACGTCACCGATACGTGTGCACAACTTTTAGCGGCGTGCGGTACGCTTGATGAGCATATGGAAACGCAGGTAAAAAGCTCAACTTCTATCTGTCGTAACTTGGTAACCGGTCCACCGATTTCGATGCGGCTTTCGGCAACACCATTATAAAAACATAAGGAATGTTTTATTATCGGTTACTATTTGCACTACAGTTACTCTTTAAGCATCATCTTCTTTTGGTATTGCCTTAATAGGGTCATAAACCTTAAGACCCTTCCATCTACGAAGAGTGTTTGATTTTTCCATATCTTGGTCTTAGAGAAGATTTTTGAAATTTCAGTCAATTCGACCCTTTTTGGCCCCATCCGTCAGCCCCGGGGATCAGTCAGAGCATGTGCAAACCATCCAATACTGATAATGCTAACCAAAATTGAATTACTTCCAATAGAAATTAAACAAGTGTTGGTCCAAAATGTGATTTCCCTATATACACTATAGTAAAGTTTACCCCCTCCCCAGGTAGAGCACCTTAAGGCCCTTCTATCCATGGAGAGTGTTTGATTCTACCATATCAGGGTCTTAAGAAGAAGATTTTTGAAATTTTAGTAAATTTGGCCCTTTGTGGCCCAGCCCCTCAGGCCCCTGTGGGCTGGGGACCAAATCAGCCACAATTTGTTTTGACCTTTGGCAATGAAAGGTTTCTGCAAAATTTCATTGAAATTGGTTAAGGGGTTTTGGAGAAGAAGTCGAAAATGTAAATTGTTTACGGACGCACGACGGACGACGCCGGACAAAAGGCGATCACAATCGGTCACTTGAGTCTTTGTCTCAGTTGACCTAAAAAGTCGGCGAAACCTTCCTTCAGGAACGTTCCATTTTGAAAAGCCGAACTGAACGAATGATTATGATAAACAATAAAGTAAAAAGATATTGACAAATATGAACAAAAGTTGGAAACACATTCAATGAATGAATTTAATTTTAATTAAGTAAAGTAAAAAGTACCTGTTTTGACCAAGAGACCATAGAACTGTAAACTGGAGTGCCTTTGTCCTCCCTCCCCTTCTAGGAACGCTCGTGACGATGTTCGACACTGACCGTTCTCAGAGTCGTAGGATACGGCCACGCAACATCGCTTGACCACACAAGCTAGCACGCACTGAACCGGGGATGTGACGTCCTCGGTCTCAATATTCGATTCGGTCATGTTTGGTTCTGTTGTTCCAAACCTGCGGCCGAAATGGTCCTGGTTTAACTGTCCGATTGATGAGCGGCATAGGATGAACAACCACAAAATTACAAGAAGATATCTTGACATTTTAAAAGTGAACTACAATTACAATCTCACCAGTTTCTTACTGCGAGGACTTCGAGCTGCTGAATTATAAATGATATGATTTTATTGTAGGGAGGAGTTTTATTCTGTCATTTGTGTTATACTGCCAATAGAACGCATGAACAGTAAATTATTGATATATCGTTAATGTCTCGCCAATAGATTTGTATATACTCCACTGCGATAAACACAATGTACACAAAACTGTATCTGTATATGTACATAGCACTCTGCTACATTTTCCCCGATTTAACTGTGATCTATGTAGTCCAAATAGTGGCTTTTCATTCTCATACCGGTTTAAATCCGTAGCACTCATCTTAACCCACTTCATCATTGATGTGTTATTCACGACACGGGGATAAATGAGTCTTGTTAAGGCTGAATTCGTTTGAAGCAGCTCTGTCCTTCCGACGCAAAACACCGTGTACTGTAGTGCTCCATTTTCTTGAAAAAACTAAAACCAGATGTATAACGCAGTAATATTGACAATATTATATACGACAAATAACAATCATATATTTATGAACCCAATTGCATCAGTGTCATTTTTACTCGGCCTTTCTCGCATAGCATTAAATGGAACTATTGTAAGAAGCAAACATTTATATGACGTTAGGCTGTCTCCAGATATTGCGCTTCCACTGACGATACAGAAACGTCAGCACAGCGAACTATAGGAATAACCTTGTTTAAATTAACATATATACTACTCACATTTTGCTAAGGATCACCTATATTTTGAACAAAAAATCAGAATGTTAGAAAGGATATTATTTTTCTTCCGTACTGTTTTGGGTGAATATGTTAGCTTTCCGAATCGTCATGTGTGGGTGTGTTCAGTCAACCATAAAGCGCGTGCACGCTTTTCCACGTGTACACTCCTTTCAAAAGCTAAGCTAGACTAAGTAAAGCGTTGTTCAAATTGTTAAGGAAATCAATTTGATGAGTATTCTTTGCGTGTTTTTGTTTTAATATGGCACAAAGACGAACCAGACAACGATAAATGAATAGGGGCATCGGAATGCTGCTAGTTAGCATGCATTAACGTCAGGTTGCAGCAGACCTTGCTGGTGTCTCAAAGTGTGGTGACAAGAGTGTGGAATCGTTTTAAAACTAAAGGAAACCCTTCCAGACATCATGCTGGAGGACGTTCTATGGCTAAAACGCAGCTAAAGACCGACTTTGCTCATACAGACAAGGCATCACAGGTTACAGCTTTTTACAGCTTTACGAAATGACCTCTTAAATGCTTCTAGTACCCAGGTCGCCACTCAGCCAGTTAGGAACCGTCTTCATGATTGATGCTTGTTTAAGGTCACGTAGACCAGTAATACGAGTTCCCTGAATTGCCCGCCATGTTAGGTACCGATTAGATTGGGCCCAAGCTCACAGCACTTGGACTCTTCAGGAATGGGAACCGGTTCTTTTTACTGAAAAGTCCAGATTCTGTCTCGACTTCACCGACAGCCGCGTTCGAGTATGGAGACAACCTGGGGAGAAGTTCCAGCCAGGTAACGGTATTGAACATGACCGATATGGCGGAGGTTCAGTGATGGTGCGGGGAGGCAAAAGCCTTCATGGGAAAATATACCTCTCTACAGCAAGAGACTATTCAACGAATGGATTGACCAGCCCGCTCGCCGAATCTAAATCCCATCGAGCGTGTGTGCGACATGCTGCAGACAGTTTTCTCTGCCAGAAATGTTCAGCCAAGAACGCTCCATGAGCTGGGAACAGCTTTGGTAGCCGAGTGGAACGCTATCCCACAATGGAATTGTGCATGCTGATGAATTAAAAGAACAATCAATTTTTCCAAAAAACACCTCAGTTTAAACCAAATAAAATATTTATTTTCACATATGTCCAAAAATAAAAGTGAGCCTTAGCAAAATGTGAGCAGTATATATAATTACTATGATTATGCCGACTGGAATTCTTTTTCAAATACTGAAAGTATTGATATCGGCATAAACATTAAAAAGAATGTTATACGCCTTTATATATGCAGAATATGTTTTATTTTCATTTGGAATTTTTAAAAAATGAGTGTACTATTCCACAAAATCTAACAGTATCCTAAAATTAACATTCGACTTTATCGAAAGGATTTCTCGATATTGTTGCACCGCTTTAGCACGTAGACTCAGTACCCAGTTTAGAAACATTTTGGCAATTTTGATGCACCCAAAAACATAATCGTCTAAAATGTCAAACACCGATCGACGAATGACCTGAACCTTGATTCAAACTCTTGTTTATGTATCTGACTATGTTATGTGCTGTCCGATATCTACTCTATGCACAACGCGCTGCCTTCGCCACCAATTCTTCCTAAGTAATGCTTCTGTAATACCTAGGACCAAATTCACCATACCAACTGCTTCTGCTGATTCCATCGTTGTACGTGTGATGTTTCGAATCCATTTCTGCTATATATATTTGTATCAACTATTTCGTTCAAAGCATTTCAATCAGGTATTTTTATCCCTTCCGTCCAATCCAAGTCTCAATTCCGGCATTTCTCATATTCTGCTCTTCTGGTCTTTCCAACGGTCATCGCCAATCCATCTTTTGCCATTTCGAGTCCTTCCCCAAATGATGATATGATGTAATTTTGATTGTTTTGTTTTAAATGTTTATAGTGTTAAAACTTGCAGGTACTCTAAACTACCTGAGAAGACATTTGTTGGCATTCCTTACAAAAGCCTCTACTGTAGTTGTGACCTCATTTTGTGTTAGACGAGGAAAAAGGAAGAAGCCCTTGTTGGTAAATCCATGTCTTATATATATAGTCAGTACAACCTTCTGATCAACCTTCCTAAGTTGTCTTCCCTCTCGGTTTGCAATTGTATGAAGTTTGGTGTCTGTTAAGCTAGCACCGATCTACTTTTCTGGGGTGGAGGGCTATCGAGTTTCTTTAAATGAAGTTTTCAAACAAAATACACTCGAAAGTGTGCGGTGTCATAAACCCCTCCATCTGGCCAAGACATGGGCTGCATACCATACATGTAGAACATTGTCTTTCGGGGTTTTACATGGCTTTTAAAAACCTTCATATGCTTTCGAAGGTAGATTCATGACTTTCATTTCAAGAAACTCGAAAGCTCTCCACCCCAGGCAGCTAGTTAAATATCACGGAGGAGCAAAACACCAGGGGCTACGCTCACTAACGCTCTCTGCACTCCTTGAATATATCATGGCAAAATTGAAGGCACGCTGCCAGTTATTTGATTGGTCTCAGGTCAAAGAAAAACCTATTCGCTAGGCTGATACCTGTCATTTGAAGATAACAAAGGAATGACATCAGATTCAAAAGCAGGTCAATTGTACCGTTACGCAATATATCAAACTAGTCTTCTGGTCTTATCCATGAGGTGGCGCACACTCAGCTTTCAATTTTGTCATGGCATTCTCTCCCCCCCCCCCAGGTGTAGAGAATAGGGAAGACTTTTCTTACGTGAAGAAACTCTGCTTTTGAGAAGACGTTTGCTCTATTCCTGTGTGGAGGCAACATTTCTGTACCTGATTGAAGATAGCTGTGTGTTTTTTTTTCTACACGGAGTCAGATGTATACATTGTATCTAACTTTGGGGAATTGGCATGAAGCCTGAAGTGACCTAAACATAAGTGCTTAGGGCCCACGGACATTTG